ATATATATCGATATTTTTCTAACGATATATATCGATATAACGTTATATATCGATATATATCTAGTAATAAAATTTCCCGATGATGTCAAAAAAAACATTGGCATTGTTCTAATGCAAATTGTACAAATTGTTGTAATTTAAACAAATGCAATGATATCGAATATAGTCATTGTAAAGAAAAAAATATTGAATGTCAATGTGTTTTGCCAAAAATACAAGAAGAATATGAAAAGATTAAAGATAAAGTTTCTTATATTGTTTGAAAATTTGAACCAACTGGGAATGAAAAGTTACATGCCCAGATGTATTTACAATTTCAACTGAAACAATGACAAACTCATTAATATTTCAAGAAAAATTAGGTAGCACTTCTATTCAAAATAGAGATTATTCGTTAAAAACTTATGATCAGTGTAAGAAACACTCAAATTGTCAATGTGATTTTTTTGATATAAATAAAAGATGTGATAAATGTGATTCTACTTGTGAACGAAAAATTGCAGCTTGGAGAAGAGGTACTTTACCAAAAGAAGTTGTTTGTCTATTCAAATTTGAAGAATTCAGAAAAATTGAAAAAAGTTTTACCAAAGCTTATAGAGAAAAAAAAGATATAAAAGAACAAAAGTTTGAAGATATAGAAAGAATAGACAAAATGTTAATGGATAATATTTCTTCTGAAGATATCATAAAAAATCCTAAAGAATTATTTCTGTATTCTTTTTTAAGAAGTTTACATGACTTAGAATATTTGGAACATAAAATTCGACAATTAAAAAAAAAAGATTTAAAAAGATTCTGGCATCCTGTAACTTTTTATCTTTATGGTCTAGGAGGAAGCAGAAAATCTGGTCTTGTAACTGAATTATTTAGAGATCAATTATATGATCAAAAACCTAAAAAACAATGAAGTTCCTGGTGGAATGGTTATTGTGGTCAAGAAATGGTTCTTTTAGATGAGTTTTATACAAAAATTAATTGGAATAATACAGTGAATCTTTTTAATGATACGTCATATTCAGTAGAGATAAAATCAAAAGGATTCGAACCATTTTTAGCAAAATATATTTTTTTAACAGCAAGAAAAC